AACATCAATACTTTGTTGTACCTACATATAGAGTCCAGAGCTGAGGTTGCAGATGGTGCATTATGCACCTGACGCTGAACGTCGGTCTTCGACGAGGTCTCGGTTTTGCGGCTGCCCAAGGGCTCCGTCGGTCGCGGGTATCGAATCCATGTTTTGCATCGGAAGCCAGATTCTCTGTGCTGGCCCTGTCATGCACTCATGCATGCCACTGCGGAGGAAACATCCTAGCACCTTTCCACCTTGCCCTAGTGCTATACGCGCAAGATATCGTTCACATGTTCATAACGTATATGGAACAAGAGCTTGCGTGATGCAGTGCAATTGCGAATTACCGGAAGCCAATATAGATATATACCGAGAGTCATCGTGCTTCTGTTCTGTTTTCCAAACTGCTGTGTGTGGAGGGATTGGTGTGGCTCTCAGCAGTGGTGGCATGTCGAGGGCTTTTTCGGCTGCCATGGGCTACCTAACTTCAAATGTATCTCGTGCCCCCCCTAATGCCTGCTGTGCAGCGGTGATTGTCTTGATTCACATGTCGCATGAGTGTTTTCAGGTCTCGTAGACTTGGCAGATTGTAAGGAACGTGGATTCATGGACAATGTTGTCAACTATCACATTGCTTGTAATCAATGCGCTACAACGATCTTCAACTCGAAGATAACCTTTTACAGTATGAAGCACAGGCAATTGAAGCATGAACAACGCGGAGGAGGCAAGTGCATGAACGTCAATTCTTCAAGGCCTTAACAACTGTGGCCAGAAGTTTAGCATGCAACATCCTGGGACACACTTGCAACATGTCTCAAATACGCTAGGCGGGAAGACCGGGTATCAGATAACTTAAGGTTGGGAGCCGGCAAGTTCTGATTGTTTGAAGCTTATTCACTGGACGGAACGTTGCAAGCATGCCAAGCCGCTATCACCCAACCTCAGTGCCGCTTGCAAACACGGTTCCAATTTGGCGGCCAGATGGACTCGTTTTGAACAAAGTCCGTCCGGGGTGTATATGGATTAGGTTGCAAGGGAGAACAAGATTGAATGCGCATCAGTCAATGGTTCATCTCGACTTACAAGCTTGGGGGCGAACTGACGCAATTGATACAACGTCTCAGTATCACGGGAATGTTCAAGTCCTTTAATTTGCCCTTCATCAGCTCGACGATCTCTTCCGCATGTAACTTTCTCGACTTGAAACCTTGTCAAGAGCTACCAGGGTGCGCCCTCTCCCCCTGCTGCCACTTGCTGCTGAAGGACTGGCAGATACAGCCTCTGGTCCGGCGAGTTTGCAAAGCCCGGTATAGAATCCACACAGAAACGGTACACTGCAGCCAGTAACTGCTTATTCCCCAGTGTTACGGCCCGCTCCAGGAAGGACGCGGGCGGGATGACGTCTTCGACCTGCTGATGACGTACGTAACGCATGGCCTCCGTAAGGTTTCCAAACGCCAAGAGGGCGTCCACGTATTCCCTGTTCCAAGCGGAAGAGGACTTCTTGAGACAACAGGATGGAAGATGAACCGGTCGCATTGGAAGGACAGATTTTAAAGTAGTTGCAAAGTCCGACCAACTTGACAAGCGGCAGATAATCCTGGATAAGTGCAATTGTACCTCTGAAATCTACATACATACCAACATTTTGATCAGCCGACACAGACCGCATACCTCTCCTTTGTGCCTGGGACCCGCAGGCACGTTTAAGCAGAACAAAGTCGTATGCTTGAACACTTTTCAGATCCCGCATTCTGCGTCTGGAGTCGGACAATGCAGACAATTAGGGAGCCCACCTGTGTGCCTTCAGCGTCCGCAGCATGCTTAGACCAATCGAGCGGACGTCCGGCTGATCCACCGCTTCCCCAAGAAGCTGCTGGGCTACGGCCACGGACGGCTCGATTACCTGCAAAAAACGTTCCAAGGTCAGACCAGGTTGGAAAGGCGGGACTGGTATGATAAACTTAGACGATTTTTGGAGGCCTACACCATTACAGGTGCAGAGCGGAGTTCTGGAGAAGAAGCTCTCGGGGGACCATGTTCCCTGCTTGAGAAAGTAGGCCAGGAGGTCTCCATAAAAGAAGACTAGGGAGGTCCAAAGGATATCGACCTCTCGGTATGTCAAACAACGTTTCTGGCCCTTGAAAATGAAGAACAGCGCGAGCTCTTGTACGGCTCTGCAGATTGAGTTTCATGCCTTTGTAGGTAAAAGAGAAAGAGATAGCCCCCACCTTGCTTTCGAGCAGCGCCGTGAGTTGCCCCGCCCGCCCCTCCTGCAGCAGCAGCCGGATCAGCAGCTCGTACACTTCCGGGGGGGTGCGCAAGTCCACCGCCGCCAAGCTCCGTATATGTTCGATCAGCACCGCTGCCAGGTACAAAGCCCCGGGGGATCCCTCTCTAGGGGCGTCCCTCAGGACCTGCGAGAACACCTCGTCGGGAGGAACCACCGGGGACAGCACACGCCACACCGGGCTGTTTTGCAGGGAGGGAGGACCCCCCGGGGGAACGACCCGGCCGCTTGAGGAGGGGCGGGACGCACTCGGTTCGGGGTCATCTGGGCGGATCTCGCCGAGGGACAGTTTGGGCCGGTCGGTAGGCCACCGACGATTTTGGCTGGGTTCGCTAAGGGGACCGGGGCTGGCTCCCAGTTCTACTTTCCCTTTGCCTTTCGCCTCGGCGCTTGGTTTTCTCCCCTTTTCCTCAGCGCCCTCACCTCCCGACGCGCCATCCTCCTCTGCCCTCCCGTTTCCTCCTCCGTCCTCTCTTCCTTCCAGATACCCACTTTTACCACCCCCCTTCTCCCTTTCCCCGGTCTCCCCCTTATCCACACCGGTCGTACTACTCCCCTCGCGCAGTTCAGGCGGCTTCTCCTCCTCTCTCTGCGGTGGGGGCCCTGCGAAGCCGCTCGACAGCAGCCGCGGCAGCTCAGACGCCGCCACGTGTTCCCCTACGGGCTGCGCTGACGTCGTCGCCTCGTTGGCCGGGGGTGCGCCGAGCGGCCGCGCGTGGGCGAGGCGCAGATGTGCGGGGGTAATGCGGGCAGAGGGGCCGGGGGAGGGGGCGGAGAGCGCTTGGCTGGTCTGCAAATGAAAACGTGCTTGACACTCAGCCACTTATCGTGACTGTCAGAACGGATGGAGGGAGAACATGGATCGCCGCGCAACCCTCGCGAGCCCCCTTGGCTACAAAAGCAGGAATATCGACGGAAAATTCTGCCGGAGAGACCTGTTGGACCGTCGATTTGAAGGTTACAACTGAAGGGGGTCATCGAAAGTGACAGGCCGGGAGTCCGCGTTCTACTTCCATCACTTCTGTCAGGGCTGCGATAAGCTGGCCGACATTCGCGGCTTCCAGAGACCGCCAGAATTGCAGGAACTTTAGCATCGAGCGCCGACTCGGAGGTGACCACCCAAAGCAAGTAAACTGCCAAGAAGTCAGCTGAATAGTCGTTGAGGTGCAACCGAGAATGACATTGGCGACGTCATCCCCTTCTAGGCAAGGTCCATGTGGACAGAAACACAGCGCTACCTGCCGTGAACAAAGGCAAAAAGACACCGCCCTCAACGAACTGTCCTCCAGGGCCACGCACTTGCAGAACAGCCCTATTGAGAACGCCGTCCCATTCACATGCCATCTATGTCCGGTTCAACATTTTGCAAGCCTTATTTAAATCCCGACCCATCACTAATTCGAAAGGAATCTCCCTAAAGGCTGCTGCAAGAAGCCATTTCGAGAAACCATCCCTTCGTGTTTCTATCCTACTAACACACAGAATACACCTAGGACTGTGTGTTGTTGCTTTCAAACGAAACGTCCGTAACTGGACACGCTATAGCATGCCGGATACTGCGCAACTGAGAAGCAGGCCTTTGCCAAGTCCCTGGCTCCGTCGGTTAGAAATTCCCATTCGATGTTGGACCGGTTGTGATTGGCATCAGATTGTCGACACCAGACCCCCTTTAGATTCACAACCGAGATTTCGGATCCGTCCTCACCACTTTCATGGCGCTCGCACACGCCAGCGCAACGACGTCCAGAGCGGCCCCCACCGCATGCAGGGGACTGCGCTCGGCTAGCATCGACTGTAGCGCGGCGATCGTCAACCGGCGGCCAACCTGCGGCTCGGCCCGGCGGCGCTGCAGAAAGCCGACGAGGGCGCTGGGGTCGGAACAGCTGGCGGCGATGGCCTCCAGGTCGAGCCTGCGGACGTGAAAGAAGGGTTTGAGAAAATGTTTGGTGCGTCTGGAGAAAAGGTGTTACTGCAAGGGTGTCTTGCAGCTGCTCGCGGCGGTTGCCTCCAGATTGAGCTTGCGGACATCGGTTTTATAACGGTTTTCTTCCCCAGCTTTCTTGATCAAGCCCCGTCTGCTTCTGCAAGGAGGTTGAGCGGCTGGCGGCAACGCCCTCAGGCAGAGCCTTCCATGGCAATAGTAGCTTCACGTGACTTGAACACAGTGGAGTTTGAAGATCGACGATCTTTTTCGAAGACAAGGCCCAGGTTGTCCCGATCGAAGCGCTGTTTCACAAAGATAAGCTTGGAGGTGCGATCCTCGACTGGCAAGTACAAACTCCTCTGAAAAGACTGACCCAGCAACCACGGCGAGATAGCATACGAATAGGCCGGGCGTAGTCAACTTAATATTGGGGAAAACGTCACCGCGGAGTGTGGTGGACTTCAAGACATGAGAGTTGATAAGAAAAGCGTGAGTGTGTTTCAGGAGCTCAGCCTTTGCTGTCAACACCGATCATGACCGGACGCTCACATCCAAAGCGAAGATGGAGAGTCAATTTGGGGCGACGAGGTAAAAGGAAGTGACTAGAAGCCGACCAAAGCCGACGCTGCATCTATCGCCTCTATACATGACACTTTAGGGGAAGGCTTCGCTTCGACACGAAGTGGAAACATCATGCATCACCTGACTTTCCACAGCAGGCCGTGCTTATGGTCCAGAATCAAGTCCGGATTCAAGTACACCCATCCGGCGCCGTACAGCTCCTTCTCGTGGGGCGCAAGCGCCTTCTCATCGGAGGGGGCGCCCCGCAGGGTCAGCGGGAGGGGGGAGGCCAGGGGCTGGCTGACGTCAGAGAGGACGTCAAAGAGGAGGACGACGCCCGAGTCGGTGTTGTGGATGACCAGGGTGCTGTCGACGACGTTGATGGCGACCTGGGGGAGTAGATAACGTCAGAATGGTGACGTCAGCAGTCTAGCCGTGTGATGCGGGTTGGAATGTGAGCTGGCCCTTCGAAGAGCATGTGACGAAGGCTTGCTGTCAGAATTTGAATCCTGGTTGGGAGAAGGAGCCAGACTTGGACGCTTCTTTTCCAAGAAAGACAACTCTTTTCTTTTCCAATCTTTAAAGGTGAGAGGAGAATTAACGCGCGCCTGATCGGGTGTGATCAGGAAGAGATCGGGCAATGTAAGTCGGGCCCCGAGATCCTCTGTCGAGTAAGTTCTCCAAACGAAAACGGCAACTTCATTCAAAAAGCTACGGGCAATAAGGGCTCATGAATAATGCATCTGGGCCCCATGGTATGGAACCTTAGACGGGGTACGACGACGCTATCAAGAGATTTTTAAGCTCGAATTAGCAAAGAGGACAGACAGATTATTCCTGCAAAGAATCGAACTGTGACATCGAGTGATTGAATTAGGACAAAAGAGTCTGCCCGACTCTTCTGAAACCATCCCCTTGTCGAAACGGACGGTCTTTTCTTTAAAGAAAGAAGAACCAGACAAAATTCCTCTTTGGTTGTAAACGCTCACCTCTGTTGAGTACAGTGACAGCGAGGTCTGCGGCACGACCGCATCCCTGTAGAAGCGGTACATCCGCAGCTGTCGCGCAGCCCTGTCTGTTTGGAGGCAGTACAGCCGTCCGTACATGGTCGCAATCCGGACGTCCTCAGGGGCCAGAACGGGTTTCCGGTTAGCCCCCTCACGGGTTATGGTGACCTCGAACTTGGGTAGGCGCACGAGGCCCCCCGCACTAAACTGGAAGCCTGCGAGGGACTTGCACTGCATGCCGCTGGCCAAGAGGACCATACGGCTCTCGTGAGTGTAGACGTACCTGGGAAATAAGAGGCAGTGGTCTCATCAGGGAGAGTTGCTTGAGGGCAACCAACCACCGAAGGAAGTGCTCAAAGTGACCTGCTGTACTAAAAACAGTCCCCTTATCCCCTGAGGAGGTGTCGGTCAACAGAGTTGTCAAAGACTTTTTTGGGGCATGCACCACAGATGATGAAGTAGAAGCATCTCTGTTCTGAGAACGATAAAAGACTTGACCTTGTCAACTTAAGAGTAAACCCGTAGGCAATTGAGTCTTGGTGCACTGATATCGATTTAGTCAGGGCTACTCTTTTGCCAAGCTCATGTTCCTGTTGATGGCGACTGTGGGGGCATTCGTAACGGATTTGAGGAACCGATCAATCACAATTGAGCAACCAACAATAACGCAGCAGTGGTGGTACAGACTGAATGACTCAACTACAACATTCAACGACAATAAACTACCGCAATTCAATAGCACTGACTACATGGTGGCGAACTTTACTCTGTTGTGCTTGTCGTCGAAGTCAAACCTGACATTACAAGGAGCGAAGAGGGGAAAGTGCGAGGCACAGCCAAAAGTGCTGAAAGACGAAGGGCAACTTAATAGCAACTCACCAGCTGACATCCTGGCGTCGCACTTCCATCAGCCTCAGCCCCTTCCTTGACTGCAGGATCGCGTACATCTCCAGCCCCCCAGAGGTCACGAAAACGAGGTCAGCGACTGGGGAATCGCTCCAGAAAAACCCCAGGATCCGCTCCCCCTTCTGCTTGCACCGCTGCCGGAAAGCATAGTTTCTTTCAAGGTCGATGATCTCCATCTCATAGTCCGACCGCTGAATGGAGACAAACTTGCGATCCAGGGCAAAGCGCACGGCGAGCACGGGGCCCTCTTTGACTTTGGTGACAGCGGGTTTAGATTCAGGGGGGTGGTGAGCTGCAGGCCACGAATAGATGCACCCCTGAGCGGGAACAAGAAGTAGCTTGTTGCCGTCATCGTACATCACCCCAAGCGCCCCAGGAATGTCAAAGCGCAGGGGAGGGTGCTGAATGTATGCATGTGAGAGCTCCATTGCTGTAACAGGTTGCTACTTACTTGGAAGCATCTGATAGTAAACCGTGTCTCTAAAACCGTGTCTTCGAAGGGAACCAGCTTAGGCGCAAAAGGTTACATACAACTCCGCAAATGTACCACACACACTGATTGCCGCCGTAGCCTTTGGAAACCTTTCAAATGGCTCCTTCCAACTTTCAACATGGGCCTGAAGGATCCATTGAAGGAAGATGCATGCTGGCCGCCTCCTCAAAACAGTCCGCGCTGGCTGTCACTAAAAGTGTGCAATCCTCATTGAATGCATGTCTGGCACTGAACTTTGAACAAATTGAAGGAAAAGGTGCCTGCATTGCGTCAGCCCTCGAAGAAACACCGGCTGAATTTGCCACTCGAGAACCATATGACGTCAGCCATCTGCTGAATAATCTGTGCACAGTCTGGCACCCAGCAAAACTGCACGTACTCATGATCTTGGAGTGGAGAGGCGAACTTAAAAGTTGAAGGAGTCCTTTCCTGGGCGAGCTGCTTTGTGGCAGTATCAAATGTCCTGAGAAGGCGAAGTAAGAAAGTGCACAGGACAAGTCTCCAGGGGCGCACGCCCTTCGCCAGCCCTTAGCAGGTTGCGAAAGTCTGATGGGAAGCAGGCAAGGGGCGCCTGCTGTGCTGCAGCATTGACCGTTGAACCGGGTGTGACAAGAGACGGGGACACAAACTTTCTGAGCTCATGGTTTCTTAAGGGCAGCTCCACCACCTTTTGCAACTTCTGGTCCCGAGCCAGCTCTGGCTTCCTGTTCTGCGCGCAAGTGAGCTTTCTTAACGTTGGTGTCAGCTAAAAAGTTGGATGTGTTTGAAATGTTTGACAATTGTTCAACTACACAGAGCAATGCAGCATCCTTCTGGAGCTGCGGGCATCCCGTGTCTGATCCAAATGTATCTTCTGCATTGTGGCCTTGCTTTTGCTCTGTAGGCTGAGCGCCCAATAAGATCTTACTTGGAGAAAGCTGGACTTTGGCCTGCAATCCTCCTTCAATATCTGAACTAGTAATGCTGAGCACTTTCATTGTCCGAAGGCCCCACCCTTGTACCTACACTTCACAATGTTTGCCGCCTTGCACTTGAAGCAGGTATCTCATTCTCAGCAACCCATGTTGGCAAGCAGTTCGCTTATGATTGGATTGTGTGAAACAAACAACTTCCTGCGCCAATATGTACCGATTGTCTGAGAAAGCGAACGAGCGACGGATTCTGTATGCTTCAAAGAGATAGGACCCCTCAGACGCCTGTCCCTTCTGATTCTTTGGGTCTGCTCTTAGGCCCCTTCTTTGGCCGCCTTTTTAGACGAAGGCCGTGAACCTTCTTTTGCATACTGAAGATAACCTAGAAGATTCAATTGAAGCGAACAAACTCCGGCTGATTGTGCAAGGTCTAAGCATAAGATTCTGTTTCTGCAGGAAATGTCGGATAACCCATGGGCACCTTCGGTGGTTGAGTGGCGCCGGAAGTTACTAATTGGTGAGCCGATAGACTTCACCGTGGACACAAAAGACAAGGCCCTGTTCCAGAAGCTGGGTGAGGAGTGGGTGGAAAAGTAGAAGATTCAGAGGCATCTTGCGCCCCTTCCGCACCAGGGAAACTACGCCACCGGCCGAGTTCTCTTCTTGCTCGGGTAAGTGGCGACCATTCGTGCTGTAAACTCAGTCCAAGATAGTCCTTGACATCATTTTCTCAGGGCCAAATGGATTCCCCATGTTCACACTCTGTCAATATCGGCCATCTCTTTCAGATCTAAAGCGCAATTACCAAACGAAACCTGCATTCTTATCAGCAGTGTTCCACCCCAAGGAAGAGTATGTCTCCGTTTTTGCCTGAGCTGCGATGATGTTGTGCCACACGCTCAGTGCCAAGACTTGCTTGCTTGACAGGATAGTCAGGGACGTTGTAGATTCTGCTAGTAGGCCTACTAGGTAGCCTGCAAACTCGAGATCACTGTCTATGCAGGCACATGCAAAGGCCAGGATATGATCTGTTTTCTTCAGAGTTCACCGAGGACATGCGAGAATTGTACTACTCCAACCTACTTCAAAAGCCCTTGCAAGAGGGGGAGCCAATCCGGGGACTCTCGACGTCCTTTGGGAGGGCCTGGTGGATCAACAAGAAACTCAAGCAGATTCTGAAAGATTTGGAGGAGAAGTTCGGAAAGACACCCGAAGAGGCCCTCAGAATTGTGCAAGAATGGATTGCGATCCAACAAGTGCACTCATACGCCATGAGCGTAGACGCAACGGGAGCGCGGTTTGAGCCCGCTGCCTTGAAAAGAACCATGGGCTACTCTCTAGCTTTGGCAGAGAAAGCCATCGAGCGGGGGGTATTGGTTGTGGTGCTTGCGCGGTGGTCCCACTGGGACAAGGTCCTCACCTTGTCAAGAAGGCCTAACCTGAGGTTGATTCGGTTGACGCACAAATCCACGCAGCGCGGGATCCCGAACATCGCGGAGAAGGCCATCGATCCAGAAACAAGTACTGCGACGTACAATGATCTCTTAGTTGCACTATGCGGAGGCCCAGACGCAGCCCCAAACAGGATTCCGTCAAGCCCGCCAACGAAAAGGCGGAGAGAGTCGGTAGATGGACCTAGGACGCCGGAAAGAGATGGGCCGGGGAGGGGAGCGGAGGGATCCGAGAAGAAGGGCAAGGGAAAAGAAAGGTCTTTGAAAGAAGTGTATCGGCGGTCCAGCAGTGTGACTTGTGACGCACCATGCGTCAAGTCGGGGGCAGAGATCGGCGCCGAGCCAGCCGCTAAAAAGCAGAAGGTGTCAGTAGACGCACCTGGGACGCCGGCAAGGGACGGGCCAGAGCGCGCAGCGGAAGGCCTTGAGACGAAGGGCCAGGCAAGGACTATATGCTTCTATCTCTTTCCTGCTTTTGTGCGCCCTTTTTTATTGCGATCAGTACGTCCGTCTGACACAGTCGTAAGAGTGTGAGAGAGAGAGCCTCGCAGATGTCTACCCGGCCCTTATGTAGCTTTTGAGGATGGAACACCAGCCCGTCGGACTGTCGTGAGCTTTGTTTGCAATCTGCTTCTGGTTGTGGTCGATCCGTTTGTTCAGGTCATTGTGTTGAAGTAAGTCGTCTCCCTGCCAAGCAGCCTGGTATATGCCGTTACGCGCGATTCACTCTTAAGTCCGACTATCATCCATTTTCGTCCATTGTTGTCCGAAAGCTTCGTACCTACTCAAGATGGTGACCTCGTCATTGCTTCTGCTTGACTGTGTGCAGTTGCTTCGCAGTTCTGAGGACCAGTGCTGTGGCCTTCAATTCGTCTTCTTCCAGTTCTGGTACGATCTTCTGCCGATTTTACCTTCACTTGTCGTTGTCTCAGAATGTCGAGGATCTTTTAGAGAATTCATTATGAGCAAACTTCTTCTCGAGCAGGCGTCTCCAGCGGCGGCCGCGACAGCTGCAGAGGCGGAGAGGAAGCCCAAGGCCGAAGCTGAGGAGGCCCCACGATTGGCAACCGTCGGAGCCGCTCGGATCGCACCCACAGCGGAAGTCAGCGAACAAAAACCGTTGACCTTGGAAGAAGCCGTTGAGTTGGCGGTACGGAATCGGTTAGCTGTGGTCGAAGAGGAGCACGCAAAACGAGAGAAGGAGCTGTTGGACCGGATTGCACAGCTCGAAGCGGCGCAAGCTAAGCCGTCGGGCGACGGGGTGAAACAAGAGCCGGGCGCCCGGTTGAAGACAGAAACTTGACGACCAGCGCAGATTCCGGGTCGAGAGGTTTATCACTGGCTACAACCTTGATGCAGAAGACTGTCCTGCACTTTTTTACAGGAAGCCGCTTCATGAAGCGGCTGAGCCTTTGGGAAGAGGTGCGGTGGATGTAAATTCACTCTTGTCTTTGCATGTATGATGCCAGGTTAGTACAACGTGCGGTCAGTCACTTTAGGAGTACGGAGACTTCCAAACTCTTTTGGATCCGCAACTCGTATATCCGCAAATGGATCTGTGATCGATATCGCGCATATTTACACATGGCAGATTCTGGACACATCAAACGACGGTCCCAGTGCGTATGGCGGCCCGAGCAATCACTCTGATCGGGACCGACTAGTCTTCACTTTCTCATGACATTCGGCGGGCAGCTCAATGATCAACGGATTGCATGCAATTAACTCATAACTTATATTAGGTAACTAGGTCTCAACTTTACACGTCCTGTCGTCATCATTACATCTACATCTTTCGATCGAGTCGTTTACCGATAAGTTGATTTGCCAACAGCCTATGGGCGGCAACCTTGCAGACTGGTAGGTACGTGGGAACGGCAGCAATGACGTGGGGCACACCCGCAGCATGCATTAGCATTGGAGGACCGTCAAAGATGACCGCGACAACGGTCTCGGCTTGCAGAATCAGCTCATGACCAACGAAAAATGGATGTACGGCATTAAACTTGAGAAACTTTGATCTGACTAAAGCTCGAACCGTTCGTTGGCCAGGTCCTTCAGTCGTCGAACGCATCTTGTTGGCCGAGGCTTGCTTGAGATGCGTCCAAAGCAGGGTCCAGAAGTCCTTTCTCAACATCGACCACAAAAAGATTCGAAGAGTCCGTCCAGCCACCAATAAGATCGGACGAAGCAGCCTGCAAAGCGACACAGGGACCGGAGCACATGTGTGAGTGCATGCTACCATAGTGGCGAGCTACGTTTACAGCAGGCTTGCAGCAGACATTAACGATATCCCCCCCCCTCTCACGGATCCTGTTTCACAAAATTAGCTGACCTTTCAAGGCTTCCGTTAGGTCCTTGACAACCCCCTGATAGAGCACTCTGGTTCCACTCGGTAATCTTCGCATTACGTCCACTATAATCACGTAAGTTAGCGAGAGCAATACCAAGACAGAGGTCTTCAGAAGCTCGTCTCCCTCACCTTGTGAACGCCAAGCCATCGAGAGTCCCCCCGAAAAGCGAAGCGCCGGCCCACCGCGCCCCGGCTGCCATCTTTGTCCCAGGTTCCGCAAACGACCTGCAACGTGGGCAGGATTCAGCAGACGCGCGTTTGGATGGGCAGGCGGTTCACCGCGACTGGTGAGATCTGCCAATGAGGACAGTACGCGCAGGCAATCAACGACTTGGTGGAGGCTAAGTGTATGTTTGAACGGTATCTGAAATGTGAGAAAAAGTTGCAAAAATGGATCGCAGCTCATACCACAGTTGCGGACAGTGACGACTGGCCAGGGGAAAGTCCAAAGCGACGTGGCAGACGATACACTTCTTTTCGTGGGGGGAAGCAGAGCAGAACGTTAGTTCAACTTTTGCAAAGACACGGAACCGGTGACGGGGCGAAAGTCACCTCGTAATCCAGACCGTTGACGTACACGAGCGCTGGATCTACGGACGAGAAGTGCATCCCAGTTACCTGCAACAGAAGCACAGAAAGTTCTAGCACACCCCCCGACGATTGCGGCGAGAGCGCAGGGCGATCTTGAACCAGCGTCTTGACGCAAGGATGCACTGTGAGACAAGTATCGACTGCTGACGTTTGGGTCCACGATTGGAGCGGCGACTTGCAACTAGGAGTACAAGCTTTCCGGTCGCCCCGGATGTGAGTTGTCTCGCCGATCGCGCCGCGCAATGATACGAGTGGCGTTACGGAAACAGGCCGGCTGCTTTAGGTCTGATGTGTCCCTCGAGGCAAGAAGGTCTTGGAAAGAGACGGCGGCTTACTTCGTATTTTAGGCAGCCACTCCATCGCGATCGACACGTCCACCTACAGCAAAGCGAAAAGCCGATAGAAGGATCCGCCCGTCGGTGAACACTAAAGCGCATCCGTTCGAGATCTCTTTCTGTGGCTTTTCTGGGACGCAGTCTCGACAAGATTTGCCTTATCCAATGGAGTGTCCATGCGCCATGAGGTGTATATTCACGTCACAAAAGTGTGCTGTACTTCCTTCAATCAAGGCAATCATTATCGCATGTTCCTCACAACCGCAAAGAGCGGGCGACTGACTCTGCATTCGAAGAAAAAGTGTCGGGACTCTTCCAACAAAAGGAAGCAATAACTGCACACCTACCGTCGCGTATCAAAGACGTAAACACAGCGGCTGGCCCCCGTGACTCCCACGACCCCTCCACACCCACTCGTGCAATCTAGAGCGTACAGTGGCGCGCCGCCGAACTCGACCGTGATTCGCTGCGTGCAGCCGCCTCGCTCACCCATCCGTAGGTCCCATATGCTCAACTGCAGAGAAGCGAAAGCGGGCTAGGCTTGCGGGGTTATGTGGTGCAGAATGTGACTACCTGCAGAGATTGTGCTCGGCCGGAGCATCCCTTGTGTGTCCAATGTGTCTCCCATCTTGTTGAATCAGAATCTGTAATGAGGAAAGGGTGATCAGAGGGTCAGACTCTGTCGTTGTCCGTAAGCTTACTTGCTTTTTGTCAGCATTTCATGTGGTGCTCGATACTCGAGTTTGAGCACTTGTTGGTGAGCGCCCTCTCTTCGATGGCGTTCTCATGCCAAGAATCTGCTGAATGAACGAATAATGAGTGAGCGCCTCGACTTCAAGAAAGCTTGAGCAGACCAAGCTCTTATTCGCCGAAGACACTCGGAATCGGGTCCACAAAACGCGATTTAGTCCCTGACTTAAACTTCGTCCACTTCCAAAGCGAACCCGCGCGTGTCATCGGGTGACATCAGCAATTAGGTCACAGTCACAGCCGTAAGGACCCCTCACCTGGGGTCCTTCTGCGACGGCCAACAGCGTCGACTGTCCCGCTTCGGCCCCGTCTGAGGCCCCCAGGAATTGAAGCGCCGTCGGGTTCTGGAGCCTGCAGTACGGAGGGGATGGTACGGGGTGAGACGAGAGCATGACGTCAGCGGGGCCTGGCAGAGAGCAGTGTCTGGCGCCTGCCATTGAGCTGACGAATCGCAAAAGCAGACGAACTCAGATTAACGTAAGTAGGTGTCAGGCCGAGACGCATAGAAGTCAACGAAGTATGCCTCAGAAGCAATCTGGTCGGGATAGTTACAACGGAAGGGGCCCCGTCTTAAAGACACCGCTGCCGAGAGAGACGTTGCGAGAATGTTTGACGACGTCGCTAAGAGGATATGCCGACGATATCGGTTGGCGTAGTCAATGTTTCCAAAGAGGTGCACTCACGTGGGGAGCGATCGCACGTGCATGTCTCGGTCGTACAGATCCAACCGCTTGGCCCAAAAGCGCGCCGTCGCAAACTGCACAGAAAAGCGCGATTCGTCATCGGATCGACAGGTTGGCAGAGCTAAGTAAGAAGATCTTTTCCGGACACATGACATGCTGAACTTCTCTTTGAGCTGGGTGCAATCAAAAGATATGTCGCAACTCCCACGCCTGCGACGCTCTTGATTATCAGGGACTTTCTGAACCAGCGTTCACGTTGGGGGGTTTGACTTGGAATTTGAAACCCCGAAGTCGGGGGATTGCCCGGCATCTTCAGTGTCGACGTAACCTAGGAACCAATCAACGAAATATAGTTGCCAGCCAGATGTCATTACGGAATCCCAGAGCTCTCTGTAGGCTCCTTAGCACTGCAAGACGTAGGCTTTTCAGATGTATGTAATTCGAGCAGATCCAAGAGCCCGTGTTGCCTGTAACCACATCTGATCCCTGTTCACTTAGACATCGAAAGAGCTCTCCTGCTGTCCAACTGTCCGGATTATCCAATCTTGGATAACTAGTTTTGATTGCTTCCGGGGAGACCTTGATGTCCCCTTTCACTCACCGCTGACGTCTGCCCCGGGACAAAAGCGAGCCCTGCCCAGCCCCCCTCTCCGACTCCAGCGTCCCGCGGGTAGGCGGTGAAAGGAGCAGCCAGATTGTCGTCGTTCGTACGTCCGCTCGTCGAAGCGGCTCCGTCTTCCGTCCGAGAGTCAAGCGCTGCTCGTTGTCCGTATCCGCTTTCTGCTGGACGGGAAGCGGGGAGAAGAAGGGCTCGGAATTGCGGCATAATGGGGACTCGGAAGGCGCAGTTACGCGAAGTGTGATCCGTCCGACGCTAGGCAGCCCGTGGTTTGTTTTCGTAGATGTGCTTGCAAACCGTAAGGCGGTCACTGTTGATAGGGCATCACAAAACCAGCAAGATGAGCCACCCAGTACTGAGAGCTAGTTTATCACTCAGGGGAGCGCCAAGCGCCTTAGGCTCGTCTCCTTCTGAGAAGCATCAGCTTTGCTGAGATCCAAGCAAACGACCTCCTCATTATTGATAACGGGTTGCCGACATTCCATTCTCAGAAAAACTGCACAACATGTCGTCCCAGTGGCGAGACGACCGCACCGTTTGTAACGTGCTCTTTTCGATCATCACCCATACCAGCTTAACGCAACGGTGTGTCATATCTGAGCTGGACCGCAAAGTTTGGGGAAGGGAGCTGGCGGTCGACTTACCATGCGCCTCGTTGAAAGGCAACTTCGCCACGACCACGCGTCCGTATGCGTCGATCGACCCCAGAAGCCCGGGGCTTGAACCTGCGCGGACAAAGGCTGATGAGAATTCAGCTTGAAATCTAGGAACAAGTCAGTGAAAACCTGTTAGAGGATCATCCGTCAGGGTCAGACATTGAACACCAAAGTGTCTCTCAGGATCAACCTTGTGACCATACGAATCTACGGTAGGTATGGTTAGGCGCCGCGATCAATACTAAACAGGCGAAGCCACCACTGATGGTTGCTAAACGCGGGCAATGAGGCTAAGGAGAAAGGCAATCGAAGACATGTTCTAAGCCGACGGATTTTGGTCTGAGCGGCCCTATCAATGGCGACGACTGAAGGCCCCAAAGCACTTTGACGTACCAAGGCTGAGACCTTTCTTGAAATGAGTAGGGATTTCAGGCCGCTTTACACAACCAGGACCCGAATATTGAGAGTGGCCACTCACCTGATGGCTCTGCAAGGGCGAGTGCCTGCACCTCTGAACGGTGAGGGATGTGGTCCAGTCGAGTGGTGGTAGCTCCCTGCGGGAAAACGCTTGTACTTAGAAGGGCAAAAGCCAGAGCCCGCCGCGAGATCCAGCTTCTTTCCAGGATAAATAAGTGGGCTCCTTTTTTACACCTTCCGAAACAATTGGGAGGTGTGCTAGTAACTCAGACTGACAGGCAGCTCTCACCTCTACTTGAACAGGCAACAGGAGCCCGCCTTTCCCTCTAAGAGTGCTCTTCAGGCTGCCGCTTTGTCCAGGCAGCTGCAGGGAAATCACGGCATTTGAGTGGCTATAACTGTCAGGACTCGCTCAGACTCACTGGCCCTTCCGGTCAAGCGGCACCTGGCATGAGATGCCGGCTCTTACCCACAGAAATCCTGACGGCCCCCAAATCGAGCACAGCCTGTGACGTTCAATGCTCTGAACTTTATTCATTCATCTCGTTCTTGTCGCTCTGACCACCTTCTTTTGTTTTTCTTTCCCTGCGGGAAACGCTCTGACCACTCACTGCAGGGTCTCAACTTTCAAGGACAGAGTGCAGTCACAGCGGAACAGCCCTGCTTCTAGCAATCGCCCCTCTCTGAAGTTGAGAGACAATACTATTTGACAGAGTCTTTACCTGTACGCTGTACAGCTGAGTGCCGGAGGCCACATAGGCAGTACATTGGGAAGCCCCAACGCCAGCCTGCACAAATACCATCTTCAGAACAGGAACAGATGACCAGCCAAGAAGTGTGTCAATATTAACCTAAGTCATCGCTTGTGAGGAGCGAAAGCAAAGATCAAGGCGTGTCCCTCGGTAAAACTGGTCACTTATGTGTTCCGAATTGCGTAGCAACTGAAAGAGGTGTGAAAGTGCTATAATGTCTGGGCAGAGTGCTTTGGAATGAAAGCAACCATCAAATGTGGCCTGGATAGATACACTTCTGTTAAGAGTATCCCTGATAAGAGAAGTCTTGATACCTCTCAGTATCCCTCCAGAGCTACCCCAAAGTCACCAGAAAAGGCCTTCCTATGGTCCTATGCTCAACATGATGTGACAGCGGGCTTCCTCCTAACGTCCTCTAGCACACCACCAAACATCGCCTTGTCCCAGAGAACACATCATGGGAAATCAGGTCTGGCTGCTAGCATGGCGTCAGTCGCAGGCCCTAGAACCTGCACAAATGATCAAGCTTTATCTTCCAAATGCTGCCATGCCATCTACTTTTTTCTTCGGTTCACTTCTAGCCACCACCATTCATATGAAACAAAATGACTAAGGAAAGTGCTCGCACCCCCTGTCTGTAGACTACACGTCTGCGAAGCGATAGAATCCACTGCATTTGAGCAGCAGGATCGAGAAACTCAAAAGCTCTGTACCTGGATCACAATGCGAGACCCGTGCATACTCCCCGGTGATGGCAAGCCTCCTATCTCAATTGGCGCTTTAAAGACGCTCTTTGGGACCGCTGTCGGGATTGACTCGAGCGCTTGACTCTGCGAGCCAGCCTCTTTTCTCCAGAGATACTCAGCGAGCCTAGCTTGAGACGGCGTGAGGACCGCAACCGACGCTGCGCCGCCATTGACTTCCATGCTTACCATGAGAGCCCAAAGCCCCGAAAAACATGCGCCGCTGATCACAGATGTTTAAGTAGTCAGCTGAAAATGGACAGAGTGCGCTTCTTACGAACTGGTCTTGCAATGCTGGCAGTGGCAGGGCCAAGGACGAAGCTCCTGGAAATCTGCGAGGGAAGGTTTGTGAACAATGAGCAAGAAGAGCCTGCAGTCCTATCCGAATACGCGCGCGTTTTGCGCACGTACAGATCCGACCAGCGCAGCGACCGGCGCTGTCAGCTTCAGTCTGAAACAACCCGTGATTGAGTTAGCCGGGTCGCTCAGCCGGCATGGCGCGGTGGTAGGGACGGCGGCCGCGCATGATGAGACCCGAAAGGGATCCCTCGGAAAGCGACACAAGAGTATGATGGTAAGGGGATAGTATTAAGTGTGGTCTCAGGTACTAGCAAGTACGCAAGCACGCCTTGCTCTAATGTAGGGGCTAACAGAAGTCGGGCGGAATGATAAATTAAGAGGGATGCAAGGTGGATATACAGGTTCGGTTCGCTGAGCACGTCGTCAGTTTGCATGGGATATTTCGCATCTGATCTTGAAACCCAATTGCTCATGTTGACCGACTTGGTCTACAAAAAATCAGGAAGTATGATCAACATACAGTCAAAAATTGGCCAGTTTCCTTGGCCTAGAAGTTCTTAGTTTGGCTGGCTTATTGAGGCGCGCAACAGATCTCCGCCAGTATATGCCGTGTTACCTGCTGGGCCAAGCATCATGAGGAGAATTCTCATAAGAGACATGACTGCGCCTGCATGACTGCGCCTGGCAGGCTTGCTTTATGTGCTCTTTCACTTTGGGGCTTGCAGGCAACCACAAAAGGGTGCTCGTGGAGCCTTAAGTGGTGCGTGCAATTATCGACGCTTCGTGCTTGATACCGGCATGGCCATGTCAGGGAGCAAATCTCATGAACGGAAGATATACTACAACAGTGTCGACCTGTCAAAAACTGATTCCTACAAGCTGCCAGAGATGTGAATCGACAGTTTGCGAACGCATGCACGAAGAGAATCTCTTTGAAGCTCTGAAGAATCTTCGTCAGTGGCAGTGAGTCGTCACTCCTCCCCTCCAAACCTCCTCTTGATCAGAAGCAACATGTCAAAGACTGGAGAAGTCGAGGCTGAAGTTCTCCAGCGTCATATTCTACGGCATGCCGCTTCATCGAAGTTTTAAATACTTTCGAGAATTTTTCCTTGAAGCCATTCAACTGGCTCACTAATTGTGAAGGTAAGATGTGAGGAGCATGCAAAGTAGAAAGACGGAGATGAGATAGCAATTAAGCAGCAGATCCTTCTAAGATTTTGACGGAAAAGCTTGGCAGGCTTACAGATCCTATTTTTGCACCATGCAGCCAGTTCGAGTTACAGTTGCGTCACACTGACGGTCGCTGGGCCTCTCAGGGCCTGTATCCAACGACCTGCACTCAGTTTTTTGTTTGGTAAACACGTTTTGGTCCTTACGTTGGCGTGAAGCTTCTTCGAGCATGCTCATCTGCACTCAGTTGAGCAGGACCTGCGGGACGTCAATCTTAGAGGAAGGCCTGCCAGACAAAGTGCGCAAAGTTCTGTCGCAGGGAGAGCATGAACTCAAACGCAGCGCTGATTGAAAAACTTGCGCTATCCCCTATTCACATGAGGCCAAGGCACCCGATCCAGTGCGGACAGAAGCTGACGAGGAACTAGAGCTGAAGTTGAGTAAGCCTGAGACAAGAAGATGCATAAGCGCAGACATCAGCTAATTGAAGACTCAGTCGCTGGCAATTCTGCAGGTCCCTAATGACTTCAATCATTTCTTCTGCGACATGCAAAGGTTAGCTGAACCCTCGCCTTCATTCGATGCACGCTCGAACACAGGCGCTCACTCTTTGACAACGCGCCTTAGCGGAATCTACGACCATTCTGCGCTTCCTGCGACAGAAGGTCGAGAGATTGTCGCGGATGCTCCAGATCTGAAGGGAATGAACGAGATCTCAGGAGAGTCGTCCTCAAACGTTGAGGAAAGTCATGGAGCACCTCAAAGTTCTGATCAGAAGACCTTCCTCAAAAGAGGCCCTTGGAGTGCAGAAGAGGACGACCTGCTTAGGCTGTTCGTTCAGGTAATAACATTCACGCACTTTTGAGACAAACCATTTCTCGCATCCTTAAGACGTCCTTCCGTCAGTAGGAAGTATGCGCAGGCCATCTGTTTGTAAGTTTTCGTAGGTATCTGTTCGTGTTGGGATAAACCACCTTTTGACTTTTATGACGTTGCATCAAATTTTGAATAAGCTTGAGCAGACCAGCCATTCGCAGGCCTTGGCATTCACCCTCTCTGTGCCTACAATGCCTTCGACGGTCAGTCTGTCACGATCTCTTGGGAGGAAGCTCGCAGGATATTAGTGCACCTACAATGAGCTGCTGCTGCTTTCTAACACAGTCTTCAATATATTGATGCTTTTCGTATCCCACTCGACCAGGCTTACGGCGATGGTGTTTGGGGTTCAGCAAAAGAAAAGGCAGGCCTTCAACGCAGTGCCACGAGTTGCGCTCGAAGGTACAGGCACTTTCTCGATCCGTCTCTCAAGAGCGAACCTATCACAGAGGAAGAAGGGGATCGCATCCTGTCTCTGCAGAAGGAGCTGGGCAATAAGTGGTAAGCGTTTCATCATGCCTGACGCAGCTTCTCAAGTTTTTGGCCACGTGCATACGTGGCTGAGAAATGAAAGAAGATCAAAAGGGCCGAGTTCACGCTGGCAGCCTAGAGATGAAAATGAAAGTGCGGACTCCGCCTACAACAAAACGTGCAGATTGGCTGCAATCCGTGCTTGAGAGTGAACTTCGAACCATCTTGAGACATGTATAGCTCGTTCTTCCTCAGCATATTGACTTCCTATATGGGGCTGGCTTGATTTTTGAATGAGCTTCAAAGAGTGCATTCACGAGGACAAACGCCAATAGAATTCATCTTTCATGTCTACGGAACGAAGAGAGGTCCGCACTCGGAGAAGTCAGCATCCGAACCTTGAACATCGTAATATGGTCTGTGATGAGCACCTTTCAAAAACGTTTCGCTTATACTCGTACTTATCGAATCCCATAGCTGGTCTTGATTCGCAGAGTCCACGCTTTTGATACCTTGCTCACAGGATGATGCTGCAATTTAAACCTTTGTAGATTGATGCCTGTATATTAGGCCTCGCAGGGTTGATATCGAAAGTTACCCGATGACTGCAACTTTTGGCGCGGTGTGCTTCGACTTCTTCTGACTTTCTGAACCACCATAACCCGCTTATTAATGCCATTTTCTTCTTTGCAGGAGCATGATTGCAAAACAACTCCCCGGGAGGAATGGCCACGCCGTCAAGAGCTGGTTCGACAACCACCTGGCCGGAAGGCCGAGCAAACGTCCCAAATGCGCTGCCCCTCCCCCCTCCCAAAATGCTTCTTCAATGCTGCCTGCAAACGAGGCCTACTTCATTCCAGAGCAATCTAATCAGCCAGTTGCACCGATCCCCAAGCACGAGCCTCCAGACCCCATCGCGTATTGGCAGCATCTCCCTCTCCCGCCGCCGCCAAATGTTCCCCCGGCACCGCGGCCGCCCGCGCCCTTCCACGCGCCCCACTTCGCGCCCACGCTGCGCTGCGCCGCGCGCGCGTGCGGCGGCCGCAGCCGACCGCTGACCGTCCAACTGCCCCTCGCGCCGACGACTTTCGCGCCGCCACCGCAGCCTCTCTTTCCCTCGGTTCCCTTTCCAGACCCGCAGTTCCCTGATTGGCATCCTTCCGTTCCTTTTCCGGTCGCTCAACCGGGCAACGAAGTTTTGCCGGTCGGCTCCTTTTCCGCGCCGCCTCTGGACTTGTACTCTCGCCCAAGCTCCGCAAACCCGCTCGCGCTTCCCCCACCGGTTCTCCAGTGGCTTGCGCATTCACAACCGATCGCTAACGGGAGTAACGGCCTGCCAACTCCCTTTCCGATGACCTATGCTCCTGCCGCCTTTGCCGAGGGGCCCCACGTGTTCGCACCGTTCCTACCTCCCACGGCTTTCCCGAGCGACAGCCCTCCCCGGCCGCTCGCGAGCGCGCCGTTCATGACGACCTAGGCCCGCGACGCGGCCGCGGCTTCGGCGCCGCTCACGCCGCTCCTAGGTCCCAGCACTCATAAAGCAAGTAAGGAGCAGAAGGGCGACCACTCCGGGCTGCGATTAGAGATCGGGTCGCCGCCAGGGCCCTTCGTTAATGTCCTCGGGACAGACCCGCTGACACCCGAAGGTAACAAGACGCAGGTCGGAGAGGAGCCCCGGTCGGCCCCGGTTGATTCCTTCCCGAGCGAGTTGGAAGACCTGGACTTGACAGGGTGGCCTTCGGAAGCTCCCGAGCCGCAGGGGGGCGGAACCCAAGGCTTTACGAACGCGTCTGCGAGTGCGGACCGTTGGGCTGAGGAAGATTGTCGACAGACAGAGGCGGGAGACTTTCAGTGCGACGAACAGGGATTGGGGAGTTCCGAGGAGGGAGTGTTTCCGGCAAGAAGTCCTCCGTCTTTCTCTGAGATGGATGACACTGCCGGGGGAATGACCGAGAGCCAGAAGGTGGCCAGGCGGGCAGTGGAAGAAGAACGAGCGCGCCTGTTCGAAGCCTTGGATCCGGACTGCAAGCGGGTGTGTCGGTCGGAGGAATTGATGGCGGCTGCTCGGGCGCTAGACGAAGAACAATCCAGACTGTTCTCAGTGTTGGAGGATCAAGGCCGCTGATCAGCTCTATTGGATTCGAGGCATATGAGATCGACAGGCGTAGAGCAAGCGATACGATGACGTTGAATGGAGGTTCCGAATGAAGGTTCAACTGAGAAGTAAGTGTGTTGGGTTAGGGAAAAGCGTTGATGGTTAGAAGGTAGCTGCTGGCATCCAGCTTGGTACCAATTTATTATATCAGGTCCGCAAACAGGTGATATTTGAAGTGGCATACGAGGTGCATGGGTCTTCAAATGTTCAGTCGACAACCGAAGTGTTGAATACGGCTACAACGGCAATCTACACGAATTTTGCTTGTTCAGTGAAGATTCTGATGTCAAATCGGCGCCCGGAATCCACGACTCACATGGCAGATTCTTATGCACATGATAAGTTTTCAATCGTAATTGTCCCGCGTACTTTGCAGGAAAAGAGACACAGGCGCAAATGTATACACTTACGGGGCTAAGTTTAGGGGGGCCGCCAACTTGATTCAGTCCTTACTCATGTATGCCCTGAAAAGCACACGGCCCGTGAAGAACGAAAGTAGTGTCGCGCTACTTGCAAGAATTGAAAACGACTGGCAAGCTCTGCGCAGATTGTCTTGTTATGAGATGCAAAGGAATACATTGCGTACGGTACTGAAGCATTCTTAATGTCCGTACCCGCATACAGCCATGCCAGGGCAACTCAGGCGGCAATGATCTTTCAAGGCAGGTATATAATGTGTTGCTTCTAATTGATCTCAGCATTCAAGATTGCTTGTACGTGGCCCAAGTGGCAACATCCTTGTTCAAGTCGAGCGCCCGTACGATGATCAATCGATTGAATCGCTATCAGAGCTATGTATGTGGCACATGAAAACCAACCACTACGATTTAACTGTAGTATGCATTATGCAAGCTCATGCGCCCGATGAATATCGCTACTATAGTACTGTCAAGCAAATGCGATTCTTGATGAACGATCGAGGACGTCATTTTCAATTGTCGGTCAAAGTTCCTGCTCGAATTGGTTAAGCGCATTTGAGCTCGATTAAGAGGTCTGTGAACAGCTACAGGAGGGGCTCGGGCCAACTGATTGTGTTGGGCGTTTTATTCGTAGATAACCATAGAGAATCACCCTTCCACCGCTATGTCCAAATCTCCCGCGAGTGCACGCGTGCGCTGCTCTCACATCTGTAGCCACAGGATCGCTTCCAGGAAGGCGTCGAACGACAGCGTTCCCGCCCCATGCGCTTTGTCCACCAGGCACTTCCTCACTGCTTTCATCTGCAGGCAAACCGCGCGCATTTGTCAAGCAGGCCGAACTGTGCCACTCAGTCGAAAGGAAAGAACGTCTTTTAGACCCTACGTGTTTAAAACCGACACCAGCCGAAACTCTTGGAAGAAAGAATGGCCCCATCCCTTTTGTGGCCTCGCATTCGACGAGTCCGTACCTCCGAAAAGGCTCCCCTCTTTGTGAAGCCCAGTCTCTTTTAACCTAAGCGCACAAAAACTCACCCTTGAAACGATTTTCGAGAATGAAGACGCCTCACCTCTTTGGAGTCCGGATGGTACCCCGCCGTCAGGCAGACGTCCGTCAATTTTGCAGTCCGCAGCCGGTGCTCCTCCCGGATGCCCCCGGCGATGGACACGTAGGCGTGCTTCAGCGCCTCGATCTGGAACGGCCGCAGACAGGCGGCGTGGGACTGGATAAAGGGAAGGTCTTGGTTAGATAGTTGGATCGAACGTGCGAGTCAAGCTGCTTCAGGGAACGATGGACATTGGCGTGCTTCAGCGCCTCGATTTGGAACGGCCGGAGGCATGCGGCCTGGGACTGGGTAAAACACAAAGGCCTTGGTCAGATAGTCGGGTGGAAGGGGCGAGTCGAGCTGCTCCAGCGAATTTGCAGGAGTCAGTAGTGGCAGCTACGCTGCTGTTGGCATTTTCGACGTCGAATGGCAGATTTACCGGACTGACTGCCGGGTATGCTGTGGTGCTGAAAAGCAGGTATCAAAACTTCGCAGTAATGAGCCCTCAACTCCAGATCTGACGCGGCTGCGCTCCAATCCGAGCATCCTGAACCTTTGCGAGCTGCCTCTCTGGCGCAGGGTGATGGAGCAACTATTAACGAAGACGGCGCAATGGCCTATCTTTGAGTAATTGAAGAGAGTCGAAGGGTTTAGAAGGCCCCTGTCTCGTCTCCATGCGCGTCAGCGTATGATAAGCAGGTGAGAGACTTACTTTATCTTTCGCGGCAGACAGAGGGGGCTTTGGACCCCTTGCGGTTCGCGCGCCGCGGACAGCTGTCACCTTCTCGTACACCGACAGCCCCGGCTGAAGGACCTCCAGAGGGGGCAGCTGTGGGACGCAAGAGGAAACGGAACGGTTAACGTCGACTGAGCGTTTTCCTCATCATCGTAACCGTAGGTTTGTGAATTTCTCAATAGCACAGTTTTCATGCGCATGTTTCATTGAATGATTCCTTCCGTCTTCACGAAGGAGCGGCGTTCTTATTATTTCGGATCTCTGAAGGGAACTAAACGGAGGACCCGCTTCTCGTATCAAGAATTGGTCTGTGCACCAGAAATCACGTATCTACCACTGCCTCTTGTACTCAAAGTAAAAAATGAGAGAACGCAGTCGCGCCCAACACACCTCGACGCTGCTTCGAAATGGCTCCGTGCTGAGAAAAAATAGAACGAAGCAGTTGGACAAAAGACTCACGTCTAGATTCTCTGACCGTGCCGCAAACGGCCGCTGCGGTGCTGGATACTGCAGCTTCTCGATTTCTCCTGCCCGGATGCTTTCCACCGAGCCGCAAACAGGGACGTTCTTGACCCACTCCCCAGTATATTTCTTCCCCCGGTTGGGCCAGTAGAAGGTCGCCATGCCCTCCCGGCAGTCGTTGCCCCATTTACCGGCGTAAATAGTCGAGTCCGCGTAGAACTGGTGGCCAAAGAGAGACTCTCAGTCATCTACTTTGAATTTTAGATAAGAAGAAGAGGGCTTGAGACTGGTATTGGAAGCACTTGCAACGTGATGTCAAACACTGGGAACAATCTCGTACCAGGCTCCAGGAAAAGGGGCGTATTCAAATAAGTTACGTCACTCTAACCATTTTTTCAAGAAGCGGAACAGCCTTCGTTTCCAGATTGTCTCCTCTCATATTTCAGTGAGCTTTATCTGACCCTTCCACCTTTGTATGCATCACGCCATCCGTGCAGTAGACGATCGAATGCCCGACTGCCCTTTGTGCAGCAGAAACCCACTGCACGAATGAAAATTGAACTCCCAGGATAGCGATGCAAGGGTCAGGTTACCGCCCGATTACCTGGATGCCATAACCCGCTTTCCGCCCGTGGAACCACGCCCCATGGTAAACGTCCCCAGACGAGTACGTCAGCCGACCCACACCGTGACGGTCCCCGTCCACGACGTCTCCGGTGTATGTCTGCAGAGGGACGGAGTTGAGCTTCAGAGGCACAAGGCTGGTTGATGATTCTTCCAGAGGGTTTCTATGCTGCGATGCTGCTTAAGGAGCTCGAGGGAACGGAAAGAGATCAGAAGATCAAAGTAAAGGAGGAACTCATATTAGGGGATCGCAAACAGAACTCGGGAACGCCACCTTGACATCAAAGACATTGAGGAATGGCTTGCAAGAAAGGAGTCGAAGTGGTGGGATTGCGGGCGACAAACAGCACCCGGCATTCGAAAGGCAATCTGCGACAGGTTCCTGTTACGGAGAGTCTCTATCCACGACGTTTCGAGGAACAGATATGGGAATATACAACCGTTAAGCCCCATTGAAGGATCCAGCTGCAGCTTCTTACCCAGGGCCGAGGTCTTCAACTTACTCAGTTTTGACTGGGTGAGCTTGAGCATACTAAATCAGAAAAATAAGCAATGGCGGAATGTAAAAACTTCCCTGACGATCCGGGTCAGATTTCACCTCGAAACCACTTAGTTGTTGCTCTTCATTCTGATCCTGATGCAGTCAAGCTTTCAGACCTTCTTTCACTAGAATCACTAGAAAATGCTGATGCGGCCACTCCTGCCCACCTGGCCGCTCCGATAGTAGATGGTTCCCTGGCCCATCTTCACCCCAAGCATCCACTCCCCTTCGTACAGCAACCGCATGCCACCCCCGCTCGCTTCAGGCACCCAGTGCTGGCCACGCCCCTCAGGGAGACCGCCCGCCATTTCGCCAACATACCTGCAGCATTTTACCTCTTTGATTCGATTGACCATACAGAAATCTGGATTCCAAATTCGGGCTTTGTCAGGTGCTCTGGTCCAATTGATGGTAAACATGCAGAGGTTAATGCATGGTGACAAACGCTTCTACGTAATGAGCTTACTCGACTTCGGCTGCGGAATCTGTTGCACATGATTTTGAGTCGAAGAGACTAGGTATATTGAAACTGGTTGACAAATCGTGAGGAGCAGCTGGCCTCCTTCAAAGGTTTTTCATCTCTCTGCGCGATCGCTGAGCTGGAGAACAATCGCTTGAGACACAGAGAAGAGTCAAACGCATGCTTTTTAGAAATTGAGAACTCTATACCAAGAAACTGGTTCTCAAATCGTCTTTGGAATGTTTCAAGGAAGGTGGAACGGTCCATGAAGTGCGTTGGTTGTGAACACCCTTCTGGGTTTCAAGTTACGCTTTGCCGGAACTGAGGAGCTTTCTATCTCTTGGGCTGTCTTTATCCATTAGAGGCTGAGCCATAAAAAACGGAGCCGTGATGCAGCTTGAGAGCTTATTTCAGCTGGATGCTACTGATACGGGAGCTGGTCAGAGAAACTGCTTGGTTTGTGATGTAGTTCGACCAGATAAAACTGGCTAGTCACAACACACGAGCTGCTCAGAAACCGAGCAATCACCAGAATTTGCGAAGCAGCCTCACCTTCCTCCCGTTTTGCCCCCGAGCATAACATTTCCGTCTTCATCCACCCACACCTCATCGCCCTTCCCTGAAGCCCCCCCTCTGCCTCGCGCCACCCCCGTATTTGGTCTCGCCCCCGCCAGCTTCATATTGTCTCCCAAGCTTCCCCCCCCCAAGAATTTCGTCCGCATCGATCCTGTGGTATGCGGCCGCGCCCTTCTCGCTATCGTGTACTTAGGTGGCGATAGCGCCCTTTGCATCATGATCGTGGGGGGGGGGGTCACTCGGTAGCGTGAGTCTCGGAGGCGTGGCCGCCCGTCCCGACGTCGCCCAACGTCCGTACGACGTCTTTCGTCTCTCCCTC